AGGCCTGCAGAATTGAACTGTGAGGTTAGTTCTAGAATGTTCTCCCCGGTTCTCATGGGCAGCACTTCAGGTCAATGACCCGCTAACCACAGCCTCCATCTATATCAACTGTACCACAAGACACATCAACTGTACCACAAGACACATCAACTGTACCACAAGACACATCAACTGTACCACAAGACACATCAACTGTGCCACAAGACACATCAACTGTGCCACAAGACACATCAACTGTACCACAAGACACATCAACTGTACCACAAGACACATCAACTGTACCACAAAACACATCAACTGTACCACAAGACACATCAACTGTACCACAAGACACATCAACTGTACCACAAGACACATCAACTGTGCCACAAGACACATCAACTGTGCCACAAGACACATCAACTGTACCACAAGACACATCAACTGTACCACAAGACACATCAACTGTACCACAAGACACATCAACTGTGCCACAAGACACATCAACTGTGCCACAAGACACATCAACTGTGCCACAAGACACATCAACTGTGCCACAAGACACATCAACTGTACCACAAGACACATCAACTGTACCACAAGACACATCAACTGTACCACAAGACACATCAACTGTACCACAAGACACATCAACTGTGCCACAAGACACATCAACTGTGCCACAAGACACATCAACTGTGCCACAAGACACATCAACTGTGCCACAAGACACATCAACTGTGCCACAAGACACATCAACTGTGCCACAAGACACATCAACTGTGCCACAAGACACATCAACTGTGCCACAAGACACATCAACTGTGCCACAAGACACATCAACTGTGCCACAAGACACATCAACTGTGCCACAAGACACATCAACTGTGCCACAAGACACATCAACTGTGCCACAAGACACATCAACTGTGCCACAAGACACATCAACTGTGCCACAAGACACATCAACTGTGCCACAAGACACATCAACTGTGCCACAAGACACATCAACTGTGCCACAAGACACATCAACTGTGCCACAAGACACATCAACTGTGCCACAAGACACATCTTGCAGTCCAGCCCACCAGTCCAGCCCAGCCAAGCCCATCCAAGCCTAGCTCAGCCAAGCCCATCCAAGCCTATCCTAGGTCAGGCCAACCAAGCCCAGCCCAGACAAGCCCATAAACACAAACACCAGCAAATCCACATCTAATGCACTGACTCACTACTCCATACAGCTAGCTGCCTCACTACTCCATACAGCTAGCTGCCTCACTACTCCATACAGCTAGCTGCCTCACTACTCCATACAGCTAGCTGCCTCACTACTCCATACAGCTAGCTGCCTCACTACTCCATACAGCTAGCTGCCTCACTACTCTGTACGACTAGCTGACTCAGAACTCCGCATAGCTTTCTGTACGGCTAGCTAACTCAGTACTCCGCAGGGGCGTAGCGAGGGGGGGGCGGGGGGTGCGGACCGCACCGGGTGACACCATTTAGGGGGGTGACACCAAGGCAAAAAATAGCAAAATATATAGAGAAAAACTCGACGGGGGGGGGGTGCAAATCGAAAACTTGAGGGGGGGGGGTGCAAATCGAAAACTTGAGGGGGGGGGTGCAAATCGAAAACATGAGGGGGGGGGGTGCAAATCGAAAATTTGAAAGTTTGTCCCTGGGAAGGGTCTCTATGCCTCTGGGGGGTGGTTGACACCATTAAGTGCCGCACCGGGTGACACCCGACCTCGCTACGCCACTGGTACTCCGCATAGCTTTCTGTACGGCTAGTTGACTCAGTACTCCGCATAGCTTTCTGTCAGTCCTTTTCATAGCTTTCTCTACGACTAGCCGACGTGAGATTAGACAAAACAAATTCAATCAGCTCTGATGAGTGGTTGAGTTCAAAATTTCGTCAACAAATTAGTTCTAAGCTGACCAGACGAAGCGTTTGATTTATCTTGTAATCTGGCCACCGATTGGCTAAATCCTGGCAAATATGGGCAGCGGTCCAGTTTTTAACTCGGTTAAAAATGCTAAAGGGAGAGAATTCTTATCGTAGCGAAGGAGGATAATCAAAGAAAAAGGAAAGTTGTTTTTTTCTTTAAGTTCATTGGAAATGTAAATTTTGCATGGAGAATGTTTTTTTTAAAAAAGGGCACACACAAATCGGTTGTAAATAAAGAATACGTAGTTTTATTGGAGTTTTTTTTTTATTTATTTAATTCGCGGTGGATGTAACGAACGCTATCAAGTCGTTATTGAAAGTAGCCTACATTTGAAACTAGGGCTCACAAATATATGGTAGTCACAAACATGGCTTACAAACATATGGTAGTCACAAAGATGGCCTACAAACATATGGTAGTCACAAACATGGCCTACAAACATATGGTAGTCACAAACATGGCCCACAAACATGGCCCACAAACATGGCCCACAAACATATGGTAGTCACAAGCATGGCCTACAAACATAAGGCAGCTCCAAGATGGCTGACAAATGTAAACAAAACAACATGTGTCAGAAGCCTAATTTCTCGGTCACGAGGCCATGTGTCATGATGTCACATGAGGCCATGTGTCACAATGTCACATATCTCAGTGACAGCCGGGCTTGCTGGCATTATGCTTGAGATCAGAGGCTGTCATCAGATTCATGATTAATCTGATCGGTCTCGCCGCAATGATTAATTTAATCTGCCTCGCCGCCATGATTAATTTGATCAGTCGCCGCTAACCACACAGTACTGTACCTACATAGCGGTGGAAGAGTGGTCGAGTCGCTATACTAACAACTGTATGCTGTGTGAGGTCTGATCGAGATTAATTTCTTCATTCAATCTAGAATGTTCTGCTGTTACTAGTTATCGCGTCTGCTTAACGTGATAGAGAAAATAGATAAACGTTATGGACATGCGCAGTGACTACAAACTCCCCGCATCTCAATGCTTATTAGTCCATTTCAAATGTCTAAAGAAAATGTCTAGGTCTTACAGTAAGCTACTAGATGGGGACAACACGTTCTGAGTCAAGTCGACCCTATCCAAATCTATATACACCCCAGAAATATTCTTACACTTAAAGAAACCAATTCGACTTTCGTAGAATAACCTCGTCAACACCCAACATGGCGAAGTAACGTTTGTTGTGATTTCACTATAAAGCTGTCACCTCTTGATAATAGGACACAAAAAAAAACAATAATAAATATTTATTTACATATAACAGCTGATTTAAAAAATATTTTTATATCACGTTAAAGCCATTAAAATGATGTACGTAATTGATGAAAGTCATTTTAAATCCGGCATTATAGGTTAGTGTGCTCAGCGCAAGCCAATGAAAATAAACCGATTCAACCATTAGGAAATAGCGAGGGAAATAAAATTAACAATTCCTTCAGTTCGTCTTTACTTTCTAAATGGGGCGCCGAGTCGCTAGATTTGGAATCCTGTTCGTCTGCTCCAGTACTTTGAATTCACAGTCAGAACTAATCGAGGACATCCATGGAAATAGTTTTTATCGATTACTCTGGTAGGTGACTTTTTGATCAATTTTAAATTCGTAGGGAGATCCCAAGTTGGTAATTTCACAGGGGGTTGGTTAAAGCGGTGTTATGATGAGGGGGTCGGGTGTGTACGGGGTCAGGGATGCGGGGGTCAGGGATCAAGGGGTCAATTATGGGGGGTCGAAGGGAGATTCCAAGTTGGTAATTTCACAGGGGGTCAGTTAAAGCCACACACACACACACCACACGTACCTCACCCATACCACACACGCACACACAAATACCACAAACACACATATCACACACATACCAAACACACACTTAGCACACACGTACTACTCACACACGTACCACATACACACACACATACCACACACACACCTACAACACACGTACCGTACGCCTACCACACACATATATCACACAGTGTACCACACACACATACACACACAAACGTACCACGAACACACACATGTACCACACACATATGCACACATTACCCACACACGGCATCCCACCAACGCATATATACACACATCACACAGTCCGCACACGTATATAACATAATATACCAAACACACATTGTTCGCTAGTTTGCGTTTATCATTTTACACTATCCAATTTCAAATGTCGCAGCGCTGAGAAAAATTCCTGTACAGTTGATGTTTTCTCAGTTTTAAACTACGGGGGGGGGGGGGATGTTTGACATTGTTGACATAGGAGTGACGTCACACAGGCCAGGTAGGTCGTGTAACGGAGTAGGGGGAGGGGGGTATTAGCATACGTACTTGTATTTTTTTTAAGTTTCCATAAAATGTGAACTTTGGTAGCTGTTTGACATCCGATGTGTCAGTCATGTGATGTATCAGTCATTTGATGTGTCAGTCCTGTGATGTGTCAGTCATGTGATGTGTCAGTCACGTCATGTGTCAACATAATATGTGTCATTCATGTGATGTGTCAGTCATGTCATGTGTCAGTCATGTCATGTGTCAGTCATGTGGTGTTCACTTAACAAAAAGCCCGCAACAACAAACCTAAACAACAAACTAGATCATTACGTGCAAATGGGAGGGATGTGTCACGTTGGCATATCATTTCTGATAGAGACGGATAAGACATTAAAGTGCAGGGTAAATGAAGCAAAGTGAGGGCAGGGGTGACAAGTAACGGGAGTAACTGCTAGCTATTTAAGGCACTGTGTGACGTTGGATGTCTGGACCACAGCCCGTGTACAGAGCCTGTAGGAAGACAGTCCCCAAAAGCTAGCCACTCTCTGTTGATACATATGCCTCAAACGACAACATCCAACACTTGTTTTACACCCTCCAACCTCAGATACACTCACAAAACACGTTACCCCATACACAAAGTTTGCTGTTATGTTCCCCTACCTACAGCCCAAATTTTGGACTGACACAAAAACATGTTCCCCTGTGTGACACAAATACATGCTCCGCAATCTGACACAAAAACATGTTCCCCTACCTAACACAAAAACGTTCCCCTACCTGTTTCTCAGTCTCCCGTCCTTTTATAGCCGCAGGTGCGATAATTCTATCGCAGTAGCTCCCCTCCAGCAGGGCCACCCCCGAGGGTCGGGCCGAGGTCTCGTTCTCGTAGTAAAAGAGCACGTTCTGGTAGAGGACGAAGTATCGCTGCTGCCACTTGCCCATGTCGGTGCTGCGCTTGTACAGGTGTCCACACATGGTGTTCTCCACCCTCGCCTTGTGGGCCAGGTACAGGAGCTGGCCCTCGCTGATGCGGATCGTCTTCTGCATGATGCACGGGACCACCCCCGGGCCGACTCAGCATATAGAACAATCCAGAAGTTCTATCAGCATATAGATAAATCCAGAAATTCTCTCAACATATAAATCCAGAAGTTCTCTCAGGATATAGATAAATCCAGAAGTTCGCTCAACATATAGAACAATTTAGAAGTTCTATAAACATATATATTAATCCAATATGTCTGGCAACATAGAAATAGAACAATCCAGAACTTAAAATAATCCAACTGCTGTAAGCATTTGGAATGATCTCAGACTTGGGTCACAGTATAAATTATCCATCACACATTTTTGATTAATTCATCTAATTTACAGGAATCCGAATTTTTACTTACTTCAACATTTAGGATAATCCCATGCATGTGCTACCTTGTATGAAGAACAATCCCAAATTTGTGTCATACACGCAACAATCCAAAACCAATCTAAAATCCTTGCGAAAATGTGCGATATCCCAAAATATCGAAAATTCGATAGATCAATACCACATTTCTGTCGACATTGAACTATCCCACAACACAGTTGAATATTCCTCGATTAAAATATCCACGATTACAAATCTCCACTATTACAAGTTTCCACGATTACAAGTATCCACGATTACAATATCCACGATTACAAGTATCTGAAAAGGTTAAAGGTCACATGAGTATTGACACACACGTTCTGCAGGGAAGACGGTCACGTGACTGAGAGTTCGATCAGTGACCTTGAAATAGTGACAGGTGACCTTGGTGTTAAAAGATCTTTCAGTTGTTACTGGTGACGTAACGCAGTGACATACGGTGATCTCAAAAAGGTGACTCGCAGGTGACAGTGGTGACACAAAGGTGACCTGGAAGTAGTGACACGACGATGGTCAGGAAATGGTGACTCAATGGTGACTCAATGGTGAGCTCGAGGTAGTGACAAGACTCTCAGTCTGAGGAAAATAGAAAACAATAGATGGTGACAAAATCAATCAAGTCATCTTCAGAAGTTGATGGCATTTTAAAGTCAGTTGGCATTGTCATACATTCCAAATTATTCTACTAGAAACTCAAACAGAATCAAATGGACGTTGTTATATATATATATATATATATATATATATATATATATATATATATATATATATATATATATATATATATCTATACTAATAGTTTCGCTGTCTGTCTATCTATCTATCTATCTATCTATCTATCTATCTGTCTGACAAGAACGCTCTAGAGAAAACACAAGCAATTTAAAAACATGCATAGTAATTCGAAAAACGAAGTATGACGTCGACACATTTAGCGCACAGAGTAGAAAATAATCTCACAGTAATATAATGACGTCATTGATTCTGGCGTAAATATTGAATAAAGAGGAAATGTTGTCTAATCTAAGTGGTTTGCGTGAAGAGTTTCTTGCATACAATTCTTCGGGTAGGGGCGAAGCCCCACCCCCCGCGTAAGAACGTCTGAGCCCCTCCCCCTCCCCAACTCAAAAGAAATTTCCTCATCGATACTCTATAATAAAATTACCGCCTAATTAATGTGTCTAATCTAAAAAGTGGTTTTCTTGCAATGGGACGGTAGACATGATTTTTTTTGGGGGGGGGGGGGGGGGGGGGGGGGTGGAGGGGTTGGGGGGGGGAGTGTGTGTGTGGGGGGGGTGGGGGTGTGGGTGGGGGGGGTGTGGGGGGTGGGTTGGTTTCAGTGTTTCTTTCAGACTTTTTCCTCCCCGGAGAGGGGTGGGGGTACTTGAAATTTTCGGGGGCGGGGGTAGAATTTTCTGGGAGGGGGCGGACACTGGAAAAAGTATATAATTATATTTCGTTGAATGGGACGGTAGACATGTTTTTTTGGGGGTGGGGGGTGGTGGAGGGGTGGGGGGTGGTGTGTGGGGGGGGGGGTGGGGTGGGGGGGTGTGGGGGGTGGGGGTGGGGGGGGGGTGGGTTGGTTTCAGTGTTTCTTTCAGACTTTTTCCTCCCCGGAGAGGGGTGGGGGTACTTGAAATTTTTGGGGGCGGGGATAGAATTTTCTGGGAGGGGGCGGACACTGGAAAAAGTATATAATTATATTTCGTTGAATGGGACGGTAGACATGTTTTTTTTTTTGGGGGGGGGGGGGGTGGGGGGTGGGGGGCGGTGTGTGGAGGGGGTGGTGTGTGGGGGTGAGGGGTGGGGGTGGTGGGGGGTGGGGGTGGGGGTGGTGTGTGGGGGTGGTGTGTGGGGGGGTGGGTTGGTTTTAGTTTAGAGAAAAGAGACAGCACTATCAGCCTAGCGCCCGTTGTACCCTTCCTCAACGGGCCATTTTTCTCGTATATAATAGTTTCGCTGTCTCTCTATCTATCTATCTATCTGTCTGACAAGAACGCTCTAGAGAAAAGACAAGCAATTTAAAAACATGCACAGTAATTCGAAAAACGAAGTATGACGTCGACACATTTAGCGCACAGAGTAGAAAATAATCTCAAACCCAGAGAGTGCACACAGTTATATGACGTCATTGATTATCGAGTAAACATATTCAATACAAAGGCAATTTGGTCTAATCTAAGTGGTTTGCGTGAAGAGTTTCTTGCATACAATTCTTCGGGTAGGGGCGAAGCCCCACCCCCCGCGTAAGAACGTCTGAGCCCCTCCCCCTCCCCAACTCAAAAGAAATTTCCTCATCGATACTCTATAATAAAATTAATGTGTCTAATCTAAAAAGTGGTTTTCTTGCAATGGGACGGTAGACATGTTTTTTTTTTTTGGGGGGGGGGGGTGGAGGGGTGGGGGGGGGGGGGTGTGTGGAGGGGTGGGGGTGTGTGTGTGTGGGGGGGGGGGGGGTGTGGGGGCGGGGGGGGGGTGGGGGTGGTGTGTGGGGGGTGGGTTGGTTTCAGTGTTTCTTTCAGACTTTTTCCTCCCCGGAGAGGGGTGGGGGTACTTGAAATTTTCGGGGGCGGGGGTAGAATTTTCTGGGAGGGGGCGGACACTGGAAAAAGTATATAATTATATTTCGTTGAATGGGACGGTAGACATGGTTTTTTTTTGGGGGGGGGGGGCGGTGGAGGGGGGGTTGGAGGGGGGGTTGGAGGGGTGGGGGGTGAGGGGTGGGGGTGGGGGGGCGGTGTGTGGAGGGGGTGGTGTGTGTGGGGGGTGGGGGGTGGGGGTGGGGGGTGGGGATGGTGTGTCGGGGTGGGGGTGGTGTGTGGGGGGTGGGTTGGTTTCAGTGTTTCTTTCAGACTTTTTCCTCCCCGGAGAGGGGTGGGGGTACTTGAAATTTTCGGGGGCGGGGGTAGAATTTTCTGGGAGGGGGCGGACACTGGAAAAAGTATATAATTATATTTCGTTGAATGGGACGGTAGACATGGTTTTTTGGGGGGGGGGGGGCGGTGGAGGGGGGGGGGGGTTGGAGGGGTGGGGGGGTGGGGGTGGGGGGGCGGTGTGTGGAGGGGGTGGTGTGTGTGGGGGGTGGGGTTGGGGGGTGGGGATGGTGTGTGGGGGTGGGGGTGGTGTGTGGTGGGGGGTGGGGGTGGTGTCTGGGGGTCGGGGGGGGGGGTGGGGGTGGGGGTGGTGTGTGGGGGGGGGGGGGTGGGTTGGTTTTAGTTTAGAGAAAAGAGACAGCACTATCAGCCTAGCGCCCGTTGTACCCTTCCTCAACGGGCCATTTATCTAGTATATATATATATATATATGTATATATATATATATATATATATATATATATATATATATATATATATATATAAGTGTATATTAATTAAATGTGTATATGCTGTATATTATATGTGTATGGGTATTATGAAACACTGTGAAGGTGTATATAAGCCATTGATTACCCATAATTCCATCCGGCTTTATGTTATCACACAACACTACCCCAACCCATTAGCTAACATAAGTGGCTCTGTTTTTTTGTATTGACGTCCGTTATAACATCGATAAACGGTGTTCCATCCCATAATTTCCACAGTCATATTTTTTTATATTTTTAATTGACCTACTTTGTCATTGAGATATAGAATCTATCCTTTTTCCACTTTACGCATTTTTACTTTCTCGTATATACGAAGTATAGAGAAAGTATTGTAATCGTGCACAAAAATCACTTGAAATTTTAACAATTTTCACCGTATTACACCTCAGTCCTTCATCACATCCGAAGTTTAGAGGACTTATTTTAATCGGGCAAAAATTATCAATCCAGATTTATCAAAACTAAGAGGTTTTATGCGTAATCCAGTCTGAAAAACCGGGCTTTGCAATTCTGTCCGTATGTCTGTGTGTGTGTGTGTCTGTGTGTCTGTCCGTGTGTAAACACGATAACTTGAGTACCGTTACAGCTAGGTTGATGAAATTTCATATATAAGTATTTAATCAAAATCGTAGATCCGTATCAACTTTTGAGCGATTTCCGCTAACCGGAAGTGGTACTTTTTCTACTTTGAATTTTTCAAAAGCCTATAACTTGAGTACTATTTCAGATAGATAAATGAAATTTCACATGCAAGTAAAACATCTAATTGTCTACCTTCTGTTACATTTTGAGTAATTTCCGTTGACCGGAAGTAGTAATTTACGCTACTTCCGATTTCTCAAAAAACTAATGTAAATTTTAAAAGTACTAATAATATTGCGCACTATTATGCGCTTTTTATTAGGCGTTCACTTGGTGTGCAATTAATTTGTCTACGAGTTTTTATTCTATTTTAAAAACTTTAAGTATTTAAAATGGATTAAAAATCATGTCTATAGACCGAGTTCCCATCCCCTGTTATTTTATGTAAGAATATTCGAGAAAGTTTAGGGGAGATCACTCCCGGTTTATTTTAAAGTCTGATGCTAGTACGAACAAAATGAACAGTGAACATAATAATATAGTTACTACAATTATCACAATACAAATTGATGAACGTTTCTTCCTATATAAAACGTTATACACCCGTTACATCTATTTTGCATCTATTGTTCAGCGTTTTTCCCCCCAGCCGCAAAGAAAAAGGGGACAAAACTCTGACACAGGGAAATAACTCTGAGCTCGACCCTTGAACCCAGCTATGTAAAAATTCTGACGTTTACGTATTGTCCACGGAACGTTACATGTCAATGATGAAGTCTAGAGTCCATAAAATTTGTTTTCATAAGCGTACGGTATGACATCTCGATTAGACATAATGGTAGGGGTAGGTTGGGTACTTGTATGGCTTGCCTTAGTTTTATTTAGCTTGTCCTTTTGAGTCAACTTAGGGGTTAAATCTAAAAGTCTATGTTATATCCCAGTCTTGGGACAGATATTTTTAGGTCAGACCTCAGTCTTGGGTCAGACCCCAGAGGTCAGACAGTCTAGGGTCAGAACACAGAGGTCAGACAGTCTAGGGTCAGACCTCAGAGGTCAGACAGTCTAGGGTCAGAACACAGAGGTCAGACAGTCTAGGGTCAGACCTCAGAGGTCAGACAGTCTAGGGTCAGAACACAGAGGTCAGACAGTCTAGGGTCAGACCTCAGAGGTCAGACAGTCTAGGGTCAGAACACAGAGGTCAGACAGTCTAGGGTCAGACCTCAGAGGTCAGACAGTCTAGGGTCAGAACACAGAGGTCAGACAGTCTAGGGTCAGACCTCAGAGGTCAGACAGTCTAGGGTCAGAACACAGAGGTCAGACAGTCTAGGGTCAGAACTTAGAGGTCAGACAGTCTAGGGTCAGACCACAGAGTCAGACCTCGATATTAGTCAGACCATCTTGGTCATTCAGTTTTGTGTCAGATCCCAGAGGTCAAACAGTCTCAGAACCCAGACTGACGCCATATAGTCTAGGGAGGGACCCCGCATTCTCCGACGAGACTCTTGGATCAGTACGAAGCTGGTATGTGCTAAAGAGAGAAAGGGAGAGAGAGGGGGGAGAGTGAATCTTGACTTTTACTGTAGTAACATAGACATCGTTAGGTATGGGCTGTTGACTTGTGTACTACCGTAAACATGTGTTTAATCCACCTGTAGCTCTAGAGGTTTGTTCCGGGTGGAGGGAGATGTTAAAAATGTGGAGGGGGTGGGGGAGGAGGGATACAGATGTCCAAGCCTTAATAAATGAATAGCAATGTTGCTGACAATGTTGCTGACAATGTTTCTGGCAATGTTGCTGACAATGTTGCTGTCAATGTTGCTGACAATGTTGCTGACAATGTTGCTGTCAATGTTGCTGGCAATGTTGCTGACAATGTTGCTGACAATGTTGCTGGCAATGTTGCTGACAATGTTGCTGACAATGTTGCTGACAATGTTGCTGACAATGTTGCTGGCAATGTTGCTGACAATGTTGCTGACAATGTTGCTGGCAATGTTGCTGACAATGTTGCTGACAATGTTGCTGACAATGTTGCTGACAATGTTGCTGACAATGTTGCTGACAATGTTGCTGACAATGTTGCTGACAATGTTGCTGACAATGTTGCTGACAATGTTGCTGACAATGTTGCTGACAATGTTGCTGACAATGTTGCTGACAATGTTGCTGACAATGTTGCTGACAATGTTGCTGGCAATGTTGCTGGCACTGTAGCTGACAATGTTGCTGACAATGTTGCTGACAATGTTCTTTGGCACCAATTACACGCTGTCGTACACATTAGGATGTACAATGTTTGCTTGGTCTGAGGTATGGAAACTGTAAGTGGTTATGTCCAAAACATTTGGATCACATTTGATACATCTGAGTTGATGAAATAAGTGGTGTAGATAATCATGTCCCTTTCATGGGCTGATCTAGGGAAACATTGTGATGTCCCTTTCATTGGTTTAACTTAGGAAACTGTTGAGCTAGTCATATGCATTACATGGGCTGAAATAGGGAAGCAGTTAGTCTAATAAAAACGATTTAATCAGTCAAAGATCAAGATTGTCATTTTTTTTTTATTGAAAAATTAACAGATAGAAATCTATCCAGTGAAGATTGGTCATAATTTAGCTGGACAGTGAAGATTGGTCATACTTTAGCTGACCAGTGAAGGAAGATTGGTCATAGTTTAGCTGACCAGTGAAGGAAGATTGGTCATAGTTTAGCTGGACACAGTTGTGCTAACATCCCCCCCCCCCCTAATGCGAGGGAGCTGATGAATTGATGCCACTTAGTCAGCTGAACTAATCGATTGATGTGTCGGCATTAAGTCGATTACATTTTTAATGTTCACAGTTCACAGTTGAGGAAAAATCAAGTTTGCTATTTATGTAGATGTGGTGGATGTAGCTGATGGCGGTGGCTTGAGTGGAGTGTGGATTAGAAGATGTGAAATGTGGAGGTATTTACATGATGGATTGATGGTTGTGTGGATTTGTGGACAGTTGGAAATGCGGATTGTTTGAAATCTATGTGATCCACGGATGTGCACTGTGCCAGGTGTAACAGATGGATATATGATCAATGGATATGCTGTAAATATAGATGTATGATCAAGGATATACTGTAATTATTGGGTGTGTGATCAATGGATCAATGGATATAATGGAGTTATGGATATGTGATCAATGGATATGCTGTAAATATAGATGTATGATCAAGGATATACTGCAATTATTGGATGTGTGATCCATGGATCAATGGATATAATGGAGTTATGGATATGTGATCCACGGAACAATGGATATGTGATCCACGGATGTGCACTGTGCCAAGTGTAGAGGAATGAAGTGAGCTGTGCAGGCAGTCAATAGAACTGGCAGTGTATTGATCTATCTCTGGCATTAGAAGCTTACACCAGTCAAACCAAGCAATTATCTCTAGGCTAGAGGCATCGAGCGACAGCATCGAGCTACAGGCATCCAGCCAGGTGTAGCATACAGCTACAGCATCCAGGTGTAGCATACAGCTACAGCATCCAGGTGTAGCATACAGCTACATCATCCAGGTGTAGCATGGGGCTACAGGAACCAGGTGTAGCATGGGGCTACAGGCATCCAACCAGATGTACCATAGGGCTACATGCATCCAGAAAAAGCATAGAGCCACATCAACCAGATGTAGCATAGGGCTACAGGAACCCAACCAGGTGTAGCTTAGGGCTACACTTTTACGTTAAAATTGCATGTCGCTTTGTTTCACTAAATTTAAATTACAAAGAAAAAACTTTAAGTAGTCTCCTATTTTTTTTTTACAAAACAGTTTTTAAATATGTAAGTATGTACAATGAAAACAGTTTATAAATATACATATACATATATATATATATATATATATATATATATATATATATATATATATATATATATATATATATATATATACATTTTGCATTAAAATTTATTTATTTGAGCAGTTAAAGAATGTATGTTAATTCATATAAATAACGCTCTGCACATAAACGCGAAGGTACGTGTATGGTTTCACTAAAATACTTTTGGAATGTTTATAAAACCAGTTAGCTTTAGTAGGCTATTAATAGTATAAGAGGTAGGTGGCATTGGTAGGCTTTGGAAAGTGAAGATTTACACAGCGAAGTTGTTGCTGTTTAAAATTGTAGGGAGGTTTTTTAAAGTAAGTTTTTACCTGAGGTAACTATTTAAAATGAAATGAATTACCTTGGTAAAGTCTTTAAAAAGCCCCAGGCAATATCACGTGTATATCCCGGCATGAAAAGATGTCAAACAGCTATAAAAACACACTTATTCACACGGAAAACACTCGTATCAAACACCACTAAACACCACTAAACACCACCAGATAGCCGTCACAAAAGCACTTAACACCAAATTGATGTGCAGTTCACAGTGTACATGCAAGCTGATGCAGTAATCCTACTAGCGCGCGTCATCCCTAATTCGTTCCCCCTCCGCGACTGAGCATTGTTTCCGTGGGACGGAGGGGATGGCGGCGGGCCGCGGAAACAGCGCGGGTACCGCGGCCACAGGCGGGAAACAAGTTCGATAACCAGGAGAGGTTCGTTCACCGCAAGACTGCCGCCTCGTAGCTTTTGGTAGTTACATGCGTAAATATTGGCTTCTCCGGGCTGAATCGTAGCATTTTTGCTGGTAATATGGAGGAGCTTGGGGGATGAATGTAGGATCTTTTGGGATACAAGTGTAGAAGCTATAGCGCTACAAGTGTAGGAGCTATAGCGCTAAAAGTGTAGGACCTATAGCGCTAAAAGTGTTGGACTTTAGCGTTGAAATGCAGAAACATTAGCGACAAAATGATTTACCCTTTAGTGCTAGGATTTTTTTTTACTTTTAGGGCTAACAATTTTTACATTGAGAGCTAAATTAAATCTTGAGCGATAAAATACGCAATCTGTAGTTTTCAACTTGCAAGTTAAAGCTGTCAGAATATCAACACTGTCCTCAAAATTGTAACAGTGTGCCCAATGTCTAACTTCCCCACACTTTTGCTCTATTGTGAGGCTAGGGACACGTCTCATGTTAACGCAGAATTCGTGATGCTCTCAACACGTTCTGTTTCAAAGTAGTGTCATGGAATCTAATGGTCATTCTCTCTTTATATTATATATATATATATATATATATATATATATATATATATATATATATATATATATATATATATATATATATATATATATATATATATATATATATATATATATATATACATATATATATATATATATATATATGTGTGTGTGTGTAGGATGTTTAGTAAGACATCCAATTATCTTATCCGTCAAACACATCCATCACACATTCATCAAACACATCCATCAAACATCCATATATATATATGGTATACATATTATTCTCTGTCAATTCCCCCCCCTCCCCTCCCCCCGACCATTGCCCTCTGTCGCAAATCTCGCTACACCCCCTGACCCCCCCCCCTCTACCGATCTGCCAATTTTTAAAAATGTATTTCTCTCCGCGTATATCTACTTACATATAAATGTATGTATCTATGTATGTATCTATGTATGTTTCTAAGAATTAATGTACGTTTGACATGACTTTGATGGCACCCCCGGGGGGGGTGAGTAAGTGAGGTCTGAGTGGCAGAAAAGCTGGAAGCCATGAGAGGAGGAAGCTGCTGGCTTAACGTTATCATCAGCCAAAAACAAAAGAACCCCCGGGGGGACGGGCCGTAACTTGCTGGGCCGACACCTCGTGACAATATGGGGTAGAGAACACCAACAGCAGAAGCTCCCTGTGGAGTAATACATAAGCAAAACTCCGGGATTGGTCAGCTTGTTACAAACTGTAAACCAATACGGTTGGGGGGGGGCAAGGTGGGTACGTAAATGGCGGGGGGCAGATTTAACGATGTACACCAACTCAAAGACTGAGCTGTACATTTAGTGGGAGTGGGACGACTCTAGACCAACTCTTGTACTATGGGGGGGGGGGGGGGCTCTTGATCTTGTACACTGGGGGTGGGGGAGGGGGCTCTAGATCAACTCTAGTAAGACTTTAAAGATCGTAGAAAAAGAAGAGTAGCCCAACAAGGAACTTCTTGGGGTTACTCTAACAGACTCTACAAGGACCTATGTTACAGCCTTTATAAAGACCTCTTACACAACATGCAAGGACCTATGTTACAGCCTTTATAAAGACCTCTTAAAAACATGCAAGGACCTATATTACAGCCTTTATAAAGACCTGGGACCCTGCATAGACCTCTACCTACAAGGCCAGCCTGCACCCTACAACAAATTCTCAATGAAAAAAAATGCCAAAAATTTCGCCAGAATTTTTTGTTCAGCTCGACGATCACCTCAAACCTCTCCGTTGAACGCGCCGGCTTTTGGTGTGCATTATTTATCAACTTTAATGGTGCTAGGAGACGCGGGGAACGGGAAATCCCCCAGATCTAGCACGGGCTTGGCGCGCACTAATGGGCCTGATCTGCAATCCAGTAAGTTTGGTGGATCCGCTGGAAGTGGAGGTACCAGCAGTGGAGCGAGCGTTAATTTGATTACTGCTGTTGGGGGGAAGCCGTTGATTGCCACAGATGTTTGGCTGGGGGATTAGGATCGTTGCACTTTAAAACCGATCCTAGCGGGAGCCAGATTATCAGTGGCTGATGTTTAGAAAGTAAAGAAAGTCTGTGAAGAACAGTAAGTTTTAAACGAAGAGGTCCAAAAAAGAATCATCTATATGACTGTTCTTTTTGAGAACATGGGTAGGGACATGTTACAAGAAGATACAACGGTCTATCATATACAATGCAATGTACGGTGCAAGGTGGGGGGTATGGGGGAGGGGGGGGGGGGCTCGGAAGACAAAAACAGAATAAGATGGAAGACATCAAGGAATGGACTCTGTTGTCTGTTGCAGAATTATTAAAAGCAGACGAGAACTGTGAAAGATGGCAAATCATTGCGAAAAAGTCAACTTTTTGGTAGACAGAAATGTAAATGTTCTGCAACAAACATAATGGCATGTCTTTGTATTCCTGCTTCCATCACCCCCCCCTCCCGCCACACACACACACACACACACACACATACAAAGTTAGAAAATACAGCTACCCCATCTTTCTAACAAAAACATTACCCCTTTCTCCGTCCAACATACAGCTAATACACACCCCCCCCCCACACACACACACATAATCTGCCTTGCAAAAATCTTCACACCGTATCCCAATCCGAAACTTCTGTCATGAAAACTCTCCCCCCCCCCCCCAAAAAAACCTGCCACTAATCTTCCAATCT